ATTTTGGAATTCAGATCTATGTAAACTACATGTCATAGTTTAGGTAGGAGGTATCAGTCCATAAAAGGTAATACATTTATCACAGCATACCTCCCAGTGTCCCTGTTTAGGAGGGACAGTCCCTATTTGGGGCCCAAAACTCCCTTTTGTCTCCTAATGTTCCTCTTTTCTAGGAGTTCCATATTGTTGATGTGTCGGAGTGTATAACAGAGCTCCACAGCAATAATAACGTGTCATAAACTACCATAAATGTGTTTTAAAATCAGTCTCAGTTAATAAGATACATTGTTCTTGTTCTAAATTACATTTACTCAATTTAAACATTGTAGTTGTATAAATTGTATACATTTAATAATCATATAAATTGTTATTAGTAAGTCAGCTAAAATCACTCAGAACAGTTCCGTCCCTGGTTACACCCCTAAAATGTCCCTCTTTGTCCATGTGAAATGTTGGGAGGTATGTTACGCTAGTGATAAACTGGACTCGCTCAATATCAAAGGACCCCACACACTGATTCATTCGATTTTAATAGGCGATATGCTTATAATGCTGGAAAACTATTTTGAAACTGGCGAATTGCCTGATCACACAAAGCGGCCTATTATGGAAGAAATAATATTACCCAATAACCGTGGGTCAAATATAGGGCAGAACATTAAAAACTATTTTATGAGTACATTTAACTAGTTACAGTTAAACCTAAAACCAGAATTTAGAATGTTTTGGTGCCATCTAGAGGACGATACTAGGTATTTCTCATAAACCGCACCTCTGCAAAGAGGTTTTCATAAACTGAGATGATACTTAACCCCTTAAGGACACATGACGAAAATATTCCGTCATGATTCCCTTTTATTCCAGAAGTTGTGTCCTTCAGGGGTTAAACACTAAATGCTGCTTACACTTATAAAATACACTGTTCAGCCTTTAAATGACTTTGATACAGCCATGTGATATATATCATAGCCCCCACCTTATAGGAGCCATTTGGTCCCCCTAGTTTTTGGATGAGTGCAAAGCCCATGATAATTGGATAAAGATTACACTGTGATAACATTTGAAGTTTAGTGAAATGTTATTAATACGAAAAAAAAAAAAAAGGTTAAATGTTTGCTAAAGTTAAACCATTTGAATATATGTATAATGCAATCCATGAACCGGCGGTAATTAATGGACTCTGTAGCAAACTCATGCTTGGTTTTAGACTATTTGGAAATTTGAAATTTTTATTGAAATCTTTTCTGCTTTCCCTAGAGTCTACACGCTATCTGACCCCATCTCAGATTTGTTTATTTTACAGAGAATTAAGGACGCAATAAATTTTGATTATGATATCTACTGAATTTTATATGCCCCATTGTGTTTCCTTCGAAAAAAGTCATTACGTAAAACCCAAACATTCTGTAAACTCCCACTATACACATTTTTTGCAGAAATTGTTTCCATCTGTACCATATCTTTTTATGTGTCAGTTAGAAGGGAGGGAGGCTTGCTTTAGAAAGTAGGACGTGGATTAAGATCTAGGTCAGTGTGAAAACTTTGCACGACAACGCACGCGTTTGCACACAGTTCTGACATCGACAAATCATTCCTCACCATTCGCCTTAAAGAAACACTCTGATCACCATAACCACTAAAGTGCACTGTGGTGGTGCATAGCTTAGCTCATTAGCTGAAAATGTTAAGCTGACTTTCTCAGTCAATGAGCTGATCGGCTTAGCTCAGGAGAGCTAATGGAAGCACCTGCTTAGGAGCGTCTGACTCTCCATAGGTTGTAGTGGAGGCAGAGAGAGGCACCCAGTAAGAAGCCAAATTGTTCTACAATGGTTAGACTCCTCACAGTTTGGGGGTGCCAGGGCAGTCATGGCACCATAACACCATTTTGAAGTGGTTATGGAATTCAGAATGTATTTTTGATATGATAACTATAATTCTTCAGTCTCCCAAAGCAGGACGCTGAAAGCATTAAACTGGTCACCCGCAGGGCGGGGGTTACAAAATCAGATAAAGACTGAGAATAAAATGTTATGTTTACATTGGGCTAGTGAAAGTCCAATGCGTAGATTAAAATGTATGTTTATCTAAAGCCATTGCCACAATGACTGCTGATGGCAGAGGTTTCAAATATAAAAAAGGAAAACAAATCTTGATTTTTAGTCGTTTTAAAAAAATGTATGCACTCTTTGAACATTATCCCCTTCTCTCCTAACATTGTGCATAATGTTAAAGGGTTACTCTAAACACCATAACCACGTCTGCTTTTAGAAGTGATCATGGGTCAAGCAATCTGTATGTGTAACATTTCTTCCTGTACAGAGAAATCTGCACTTTTGTCCTGGGTTCTAGTTGTACCCCTATCACATGTGATTTAGCGAGCCCAGAACCTTACAGATGGTTTAATGTTAGTTCTGTGCAAAAATGATATCCGTCGTCAGCACGCCCTGTGCACTGGCAATGGACTGAGTCAGCTTCTTCATTTGCAGATGGTGCCATGAGCCCTCTCTCCCTCCTTCCCTTAACTTACTTTATAACAGGCTGCCCTCCCCTGACTATGAACTCATAAAGGATGGCGTTTGTTGAGAAGGTATAGAACGGATTGGGGAGAGCTTGGCCCAGTGCTGGATTCAAGGTAAGCTTTAAGCAACTATTTTACAGGTTTTATTTAACAACGCGCAGGGGAATCAGTACAGGTGACAAATGACAATAGGACATTATAAACCCAAAAAACATTATAATAGAAAAATGGTTGGAATAAACATCTAACTCTTTTTTATGGCAGACTTGGTTGGAACCTACTTTTAATATGGCAGACTCGGTTGGAAATTACAAGGTAGGTGCTACCATCTTGTGTCTAAAATTATTTTTATCTCTAAATATGAAGAAATTTAAACATATATAATATAATAATTTTATTGAATTCTGTGAATCAAACTAGTTTGATCTACGTTTACATGCTAGCTATACGTCTCATGGTTTTGATTTAGTAGCGAAGGGGTTAATAGTCGAGTTATGGGAAGTATTGGCCGTAAGTCGGTAGCGGCTCAGACTTTCTAAACGATTAAATCAAATTTGATCAAATAGACTTTCTTGGCACAGCAAATGAGATAGAGACCAAGGAACAAGCAATTTATTCAAAACATTTTTTTTACAAATTAAACTGGATCTTTTTATTGATTTTAAACAAACTGTATGTATATTTTAATTATATCAGGACTTTCCCCGGTGTGTGTAACCCAGCATTAAAAGAACAGGAAGATCATTTTTTACTGAAATAAATATTCTAATCTGTGTTCAGTTGATTCAGCAAGCAACCTTAAAATGGATTTAGAGGAGACTGTGTGCTAATCCGGCATATAAAGAGCTACAAACAGTGAATGCTACGCCCCCTTTAGGTCGGGTTAGTAGAATCAGAAAGGCAAATTAGCACTCGATACACTGTGTCTCTCTAGACAAGTTACTGTGTAATGTTTCTATTTATTTGAATCCAATTCTGGTTAGATAGTCGGACACCGGCTGCGGGGCAATGCACTGGTTGGGTGACCACATTTCAAGTCTTTCTCAGTCTATAGGCAACTTTGTCCTACGGAGAGATAGAAATAACATGGAGGGTGTTAGTTGGTCTGTGTGCATTTTAAGGTATACATGATTTAATGGGAACATTGTAACAGCATTCTGTGTTATACAAGCACCATGCACACTATTAGGACAGAGTGATTACCTAGTGGAGGTCTAGACAGACAATGACTTTTGTGTAGTAGTAGGGCTGAGACTGTCATTTGCTGTTAAAAATAAAATAAAATGAAGGACCTAGATCTCTATTGTTCCAGGCGACACACCACATCTTTCAGTTTGCACTTTGATACTTAGTAGATCTCAAAAGTCCTAGATGTTGCCCAATGATCCCGATTTTGAAGTTTGGCTCATTAATTCACAAAATCAGGGAATTGACCTCTTACCCCATACTTAAACATAGAAAGATAGAATGTGACGGCAGATAGGAACCATTCGGCCCATCTAGTCTGCCCAATTTTCTAAATACTTTCATTAGTCCCTAGTCTTATCTTATAGTTAGGATAGCCTTATGCCTATCCCACGCATGCTTAAACTCCTTTACTGTGTTAACCTCTACCACTTCAGCTGGAAGGCTATTCCATGCATCCACTACCCTCTCAGTAAAGTAATACTTCCTGATATTATTTTTAAACCTTTGTCCCTCTAATTTAAGACTATGTCCTCTTGTTGTGGTAGTTTTTCTTCTTTTAAATATAGTCTCCTCCTTTACTGTGTTGATTCCCTTTATATATTTAAATGTTTCTATCATATCCCCCCTGTCTCGTCTTTCCTCCAAGCTATACATGTTAAGATCCTTTAACCTTTCCTGGTAAGTTTTATCCCGCAATCCATGAACCAGTTTAATAGCCCTTCTCTGAACCCTCTCTAAGGTATCAATATCCTTCTGAAGATACGGTGTCCAGTACTGCGTACAATACTCCAAGTGAGGTCTCACCAGTGTTCTGTACAATGGCATGAGCACTTCCCTCTTTCTACTGCTAATACCTCTCCCTATAAAGCAAGTTTATTTTTATGTAATTAATCCTTTTTTGTCTCTTTATTTCTCCACATCTATATATGTATTTTTTTTTTTGCATTCCCCCTTTTTAATTTCTTGTTTCATTTTTTTATTCACAAGATAAGGTCGGTCTATTTCTTTTTAAGTAAGGTTCTATTGCCAAGGTAATCTACCCACAATCCATCAGTCATAAGAATCCCACAGAAAGGCAAACCTCAGAGATCATCGACAGAGGAAAACAAAATGGTGGCGCCCACGTGTTGAGATCAGGCGTAAAAAAAAAAAAAAGAAATATAAATAAAGGTAACTGCCAAGATACATGGGACAGATAGAAAGGAAAGGTGAAATAACAATGATATGACAGTGCCCCTGTAATGGCAGCTGGTGTTTGGAAAGCACAGTATGCGAATATATCATTTTCATACCATTATTCCTTTATAAACACCACAGGAACCGTCAAACAGGATGCAAAATGTTTGAATCTATCAATGTCCGCTGAGTCCACACGATCAGATTTGGCTGTAACACATGAATTAAATAGGCATTATCTATAAGGGAAACTGATACATTGAAATTATATGAAGATATAGGTTAGGTTCTTGGAATACATAACAGAAGTGACACTCACACAATAAGGTCAGAAAGATCCGGTGGGTGGTGGGGCTCCCATTCCAAGCTATCAGAAGACCTTCAGTTAGTTCATAAAATCTAAATTCCATCACAGCGCCATCTAATGGAGAGAAATACAATAGCAAATGTGTGAGTCAAAACACACCTTTATCCACCCCCACCCCCCTTAAATGAACTCTTAGAAATTATATAAATCATTCTCAGGTATTGTATCCTACCTGCAGTGTAGTGCAGTCTGTTCCCTTCTTTTCGGTCCACTGTGAGCGTACTATTCCTGTAATCACATTAACACATTAGCTGTGATGCTGAGCTAGGGCTCACTGTAGTTACAGTAGGGAATGCCTGTAGTGCAATGTCCACCAACAAAGATATAAAACCATACAGTGTTCCTGTTCCCACACCGCAGGTGTCCATTGCTTATCATGCCATGGGGGGGTGGGGCATTACCCTCATTAACAGAGCTGCCCCCTACACGTTTAATAGGGAGATTCTTGGTACTGAATCGCGTACATTACTAGGATAATACTCATATTTTCTCCTATTCCTGCAGCGTAGGAGCAGTGCAGGGCCGGGGAAATTAATAAAGTAATGCATGAGGGTGTTTGGGGATTATATAGTGCATAAAGGCATTGGGGTAAGAACATATAGTCATGGATGTTGACACTGGAGGAATGCCATTAGGTAATTTAGGAAATTTATTTTTTTAACATTGCAGCAAAATAAGTCGAGCTGCTCCCAATATTGGGCTCTGAATTCGTCCCTGCCAACGACAGGCTAAAAAAAATTTGTTGCAGCTAAAATTAAACATTTCTTATGCCCATGTATCATTGGTGTAGTCCAGAAATGACTGTCTGGGCTGTTTTGGTCAATCACACTGCCATTTACTTGAGCTATAAGGATTTAAGTTCCAGCAATTTATATTATGTAATAATAGCATAGCACACTATATAACAATAACCAGTACTAGGCACAACGTGTAAAAAACAGTTCATATCTCACCTGCCAGTGATTGTGATCTTCTCATCTTGCACATTAAAGTGCATCTCAGGGCTTAGATCATGTTCACCTGTCATTATACTAGATGCCACGGCAACAACATTCCATTTTCCAGCAATCTGGTTTGTGAGAGAAAACAAGTGCGTTGGAGCTTTATAAATAAATAGTAATAATATTGCATATAGCATATCTTCTGTCACTTATTGATTTAATCATGGAATAAGACCCCGCAAATGCCTCAACGTTATATTATTAACAACACTCAGCTGGAAATCCACTGGATTTGGACAATATTTTTATCAAATTTCTACTGGATTTAGTGCCAGCCGCAGCTTGATAAACGAGTCGGGTGTTTGAAAAAAATCCTCTGGTTACCCGGTTACTAATTAAAAAAGAATGACATAAAAGCTATTGTGTTGGTGTGTTTCGCCAATTTTTTCTTTTTTTTAAAGTAGAGATTTACAAAGAAACAAGACATTTAATGGTAAGTATAATTTGCTTTTACAAGTATTTGTTTTATTACCCCTCTCCCCCTCATTATTATTGGAGTGAGTGGGCTAGATAGGTTACTTTTATTTTGTGTGTGGGGTGTCTATGGCTGGGCTTGGTGACCCCTGGCCAATCAGGTGGGGACTTGAGGACAACTCAGAGGGTGGACAATTCCATGCCGACCAGCCTTGTATATTTAATTAGAACCCTGACTAACCAGTCACTAGTCTTTTATTGCAGTCAGCAGCCACTGGCTTCGCGCTGTTTAGCAGACATGCCCCCAACCTCGCTCCAACACTTTTAACACAATTGCTTGGATGGGGAGCCAAAGTCATCCGTGGCTAGGGGTCCCTGTTAAACTGTCAAGGAATCCTTCCTAAGAAGTTTTCAATACACACAGACAATTGACAAACCCCAGAAAACACTTTAAATAATTAACCCCCACCCCCCTCAAATTTGTAAAGGCTTTGCACATAAGCAGAACTAACACCACACACACCTTCCTTGAGCAGATGATATGTGGAGCAGAGTTACCAATTTTATATGAAGGATTCCTGCTTGCTTAATTAGATTAAATAAAGTACATTTGAGCACTGTTACACTGTGGTACATAACTTTTTCCCTCTATTTTGTGAATAGGAAGCAACTGATAGGCTGAGAGCTAATTGAAGCCTCCGGACTGAAACAAACGTTCTGGGGCAGAGCTGATGGGTGCTGGATTAAAGACTTTGGGGTTAAATATTTTGCTAATGGTTTATCCCCTTGAGTTTACCAGCAGCTGGGACCGTCTTGAACCATAGCAACTTAATTCTGATAAGCTATTATGGTGGCCAGAGTGTCCCTTTAACAGAACAGTTTAATTTCACACATGTCAGCTATTATCATCCTCACTTCACTATAAAAGGAGTTAAACAGGCAGTAAGATTCAAGACGTATCCATTTTGTTTGTCTTGAACATTTCGACCTGAAATTGCAATTTGAAATCACGTGATTAACAATGACCGAAGTCAAGCCCTGTTTACGTTGATAACCATTTTGGAGTTCAGTAGCATTACCATCAGAAAAAGTGTCACCAGGTGATATTCAACAAAGGACTGGTTACTATACTTGTAGCTTAACACAGCCGTTATGCATTAAGCAGTAGTCACCAACAGCCCTTAGATGTTTGGAGAGAAAATTAAAAAGAATATCAACAGGCATCCATTATATTTAATGTCAGCTCGTTAATCACATCCATCTCCACTGATATTAACCATGACTTTACATTCGGCAATTTCGACATCAGGAAAAGGACTAATTTTCCAATTCATTGCCAACTCCACCAGGACCGTAAAAGGTTCATTCAGCTCACGTGTGATCTTCTGAGCAAGTATCCCTATGCATTTCCAAATACCTGTCTTGCCAAATATCACAAGTATTTACTGAAAACTAAACCCACCAGTTCCGGATAGGCTTTAGAATTTTGAGTACAGAATGCCCAGACAGTTTACAGAGACGCTATTTTATTTTCTCTTTTTAGACCTAGGTGAGGCTAGAAAAATGTTAAGCCAGAAAGCCAGGAATGGTATTTTTTTTAAATATATTTTCGAAGGAAACCGGGTGTTACCAAGAGTCTAACTGATTCTGTCGGGAAACATTAAAAGCCTCAGTAACTGCTAATTATCAGATTTTAAATGTTAAAAACTGCAGCCAGAAAAATGTGGTGATCTCCAGTGATAGTGACAGCCATTTTAGCGATTATCAAGTTGTTGATAAATTATTGCAGTAAACATGAAGATAAGCCCTAATGTTCTTGACTTTGCTATAAAGAGAAATTAATTTCTCAAATTCTCACTACATAAATCTCTTTCCTAGTTATATTCATTAAAATCCTTGAAGTCAACAGCCTCTGTGAATTAAACTCCCAGAACCCTCTGGGATTTATAGTTCATTAACGCTGAATAATCACAGATTGCTAGGCCTTCCTGTAATATATGTTGACAACATCATCAACAAAACGAAGTGTATTTTCTATATACTTTCTATGTACACATGTATATTACCTTCTGGTCTTCCAGTATCTCAATTTCATGTGGTAAATCTAAGCAGCCCAGTGCTGGGGAAAAAAACAAAACTATAATTTTATGTTAAAATAAAATAACATCAACATGAAGTCCATATATAGACCAGGGGCACCTTAGTGTTATTCGGCACTTGGTTAACCTCAGTTTCACCAGTTCCCCATTTCACTAAATGATGTTATTCCCCCATGTTTCAATGTAATTTCGACATTATTACTTTCTATCCTACTTCCTCTCCTTCCTTCATCCTCCTCTCCACCCCACTCCTCTCCTCTTCTTTTATCTCTTTTCCCTTCCTCTACTTTCCTTGTCAGCATCCGTTCCCCCACCTACTTCATTAAGGGCCTGTATATTGCATCCTGTTGGCAGCCATTTTGACTCTCCCAGTACAGTAATCCTAAATCCCAAATATCCATCCCAGTACTCACAGGAGTGTTTCCTTATCACTATGTAGTTCAATTTCATGCAGAATGCATAATCGACAAACTTCTTAATGTCAACGCCCGGAACCTGGGTAGAACGACCTGTTGTAATGGAGAGAGTGTCGAGAACATCAGAGCTGTGTGTACATGAGAATAAACTCTCTGTTAATAGTCCGAGGAGTAAAGCTAAATGTGTTTTGACCAAAAGAGGATAAAAATACAAAGAAATTTTTTTTAACCTAATGGCAAATGCTCAAGGGGTTGTTCAGGAGCTCACAGTTATATGTTACTAGTTTAGTGTAATAATATCATGCCCTGGTGGTTGATAGCACTGATATTTGGTCCCTGGATCCCGCAGTGTTACAATATGGTGTCTATGTTACATTGTAGTCTCTACTAAAAGCAGACCTGGGTCAAGTAGATCTGCATTCCCCAATATTGTCATCATATTACCAGGGGTGCCAGCTGGGAATAAATCCACACTAGAAACCATTAGCCATTGTGAAAGGAGAAGGATGAAAGACTTTTACTTACAGAATAGGAAAACCATTCCATCTGGGTTGTTATGGGATAAGGTGGAGAACATGATACAGTCTGCGCTCACACGGAACATGGTGGATCTGAGTGATGTGCTTCTATCTGGAGTGGAGAAGGAGTTAGTTTTGTAAACACACACAGTGATCAACCATGGAGATATGCGTCCTACTATATCTACAGCAACCCACAGCGTGCGCTGAATTTGGAAATCCACGGCCTCTTTTTTACTCATATTCGGGATTATTTACTAAATAATTTAAGACTGAGTAGCCAAACTGAAATCATGACTGACTTGGAGAATACAACTATCTTAATCTTGTAAAGGAAATCGGTCACTTCCCAGGGTTTTTAATATTATGTTTTCTTAAAAGTGTTGGGGAAACATATAGAAACATAGACTGTGAGGGCAGATAAGAGCAATGTCTTATTTAGTGAAGTCAAATTTAAAGAAGTGACAGTATCCCCTTTATAATTGAGGCTGAAATAGCCGGATTGGAAAATCAGCTACGAGATCAGTTTGACGATTGTGGCCAAAAATGTATTTATACTTCAGCATAATGACTGCGATAAAAAGAAATTAAATAACAATTAGTGAAAAAGAGTAATTGGGACAGCGGTGGGGGGCACAATTTAAAGAAAGGAGTGGAGAGGAATTTTGGGCAAAGTGAGGATTCACAGCAATTTCAAAAAGAATTTCACATTTAAGCTCAAAATAGCTGACCTAGAAATATTCTCGAAGTCAGTTATATGTCCAGCTCAGCTACTTAACCCCTTAAGGACCAAACTTCTGGAATAAAAGGGAATCATGACATGTCACACACGTCATGTGTCCTTAAGGGGTTAAACCTTAAATGTGAAATTCACTTTGAATTCTCAGTTTGGTGAAAAACCCTCTCTGCATAAAAAGCTGTTCTATAATCAGCAGGTCCAAGAGTCCATTGGTTTCCATGGTGATTTCTAAATATTTAGAATTTTGTTCTGGTGGGTGAATTAGTGAATCTATTGACTAGGAAGGAGTAAAACATAAAAAGACAGAATCAATAACAATGTCTAAATATTTCAAGGAGCAAAGCATTAAAAAGTATTCAAAAAGTTACATGGTCACCATTGACCCATTGTGCTCCCTAGAAGACTAGAGATTTCTAAGGATTAGAATTTACCTTTAAATGTTACCAAACCGTTGGTGTCTTCCAGTTCAATATTATCCCTCCCCATTCGGAATAAGGACCCTTCACTGAAATACATAAATCATATTGTTATGACCCAGCAGAGGAAGGGCAATTAGAGAAGCCCTACTCAAGCTTAAATAGCTTTTTCACAATCCTTGACACTTACTTTATGGATACATAGGACATGTGTGGTCTACCATTCTCAAAGTCTATTTCCATCCATGCGTAATCAAGCAAAACATCAGAGAGAGTAGGATCTTTCTTCTCATAGGCTGAAATGGTCAGACTCCATTTACCTATGGACTGTAAGGGGAAGGTCTTGGTTATAGTGAGATAAAAGACTTCTCATTGGCTGAAACTTCCATTACTTGTAACTTGTGACATTATCTTTTTTACTTCGGAAAGTAAAATTCTAACACCACTTTCATCAACAGATTATATCTACAGGTGATACTCGAAAAATTAGAATATTGTGCAAAAATTCACTTATTTCAGTAATGCAACGTAAAAGGGGAAACTAATATATGAGATAGAAGCATTACATGCAAAGCAAGATAGTTCAAGCCGTGATTTGTCATAAGTGCGATGATTATGGCTTACAGCATGAAAACCCCAAATCCACAATCTCAGTAAATTAGAATATTGTGAAAAGATGCAATATTCTAGGCTCACAACGTCGCACTCTAATCAGCTAAGTAAACCATAACACCTGCAAAGGGATTCTGAGTCTTTAAATGGTCTCTCAGTCTGGTTCAGTAGGAATCACAATCATGGGGAAGACTGCTGACCTGACAGTTGTGCAGAAAACCATCATTGACACCCTCCATAAGGAGGGAAAGCCTCAAAAGGTAATTGCGAAGGAAGTTGGATGTTCCCAAAGTGCTGTATCAAAGCACATTAACAGAAAGTTATGTGGAAGGGAAAAGTGTGGAAGAAAAAGGTGCACAAGCAGCAGGGATGACCGCAGCCTGGAGAGGATTGTCAGGAAAAGGCCATTCAAAAGTGTTGGGGACTTTCACAAGGAGTGGGCTGAGGCTGGAGTCAGTGCATCAAGAGCCACCACACACAGACGGATCCTGGACATGGGCTTCAGATGTCGTATTCCTCTTGTCAAGCCGCTACGGAACAACAAACAACGTCAGAAGCGTCTTACCTGGGCTAAAAAAAAAACAGACCTGGTCTGTTGCTCAGTGGTCCAAAGTCCTCTTTTCTGATGAGAGCAACTTTTGCATCTCATTTGGAAACCAAGGACCCAGAATCTGGAGGAAGAATGGAGAAGCACACACTGCAAGATGCTTGAAGTCCAGTGTGAAGTTTCCGCAGTCTGTGTTGCTTTGGGAGCCATGTCATCTGCTGGTGTTGGTCCACTGTGCTTCATTAAGGTCAACGCAGCCGTCTACCAGGAGAATTTGGAGCACTTCATGCTTCCTTCCACAGACGAGCTTTATGGGGATGCTGACTTCATTTTCCAGCAGGACTTGGCACCTGCCCACACTGCCAAAAGCACCAAAGCCTGGTTCAGTGAGCATGGGATTACTGTGCTTGATTGGCCAGCAAACTCGCCTGACCTGAACCTGACCTGACCTGACCCCCATAGAGAATCTATGGGGCTTTGCCAAGAGAAAGATGAGAGACATGAGACCGAACAATGCAGAAGAGCTGAAAGCCACTAGCATCCTGGTCTTCCATAACACCTCGTGCCACAGGCTGATAGCTTCCATGCCACGCCGCATTGAGGCATTAAATGCTGCAAAAGGGGCCTAAACCAAGTCCTGAGTCCATATGCATGATACTTTTCAGAGGTCCGATATTGTTCTATGTACACTCCTTGTTTTATTGATTGCATGTAATATTCTTATTTACTGAGATTGTGGATTTGAGGTTTTCATGAGCTGTAAGCCATAATCATCGCACTTATGACAAATCACGGCTTGAACTATCTTGCTTTGCATGTAATGCGTCTATCTCATATATTAGTTTCCCCTTTTACGTTGCATTACTGAAATAAATGAACTTTTTGCACGATATTCACATTGTTCGAGTATCACCTGTATGCATATCAGTCGTGTTAAATATTCAGTTCTTTAGAAAATACATTTTTGATTCAGATGAACCAAATTTGTTCATTGGACAATTTGGTTCAACTAAATTTTTGTCCAATAAGTTCTGTTTGTTGTTTGACTCAGACAGATCAAATTATGTGTTCTCTTGTTTTTCCTCATTTTGTTTATTAGATAGTCCCCTAATTTGCTAACCGTTTGTGGGATTGCCATATCTAAGGATACCAAATTAGTAAATGTTTAGTAGATATATTACTTATGGTATCCTTAAATACAGCAAGCCCATGTAAGGATACCAAACTAAGGTGCTGAAAGAGCAAAATTAAACAGATTCCTTTTCTTCATTTTGACCTTTAGTATCCAGCGTCAAGGAATAACTAAATGGAAGTACTGCATCCATCATCTGATTTGGGACATCTTTGATTTGGTCATCTGGCAGTTTGGCTATTCGTTAGCCAGACCACTGAACTGGCCAATTTTCAACTGATTCCCAGTTCGTGTGAATCTGAATCCATAAGTCGAATTTATATATATATATTTTTTTTTTCTTTCTTATTATTTAAAAAATTGGTTACTTGCTGTTTGAAGCATTATCAGATGATAGTTGAGATATTCACCTCTTTCAGGATCACTGGCATTAATTGATCGAAGACTTTGGTGCAAGCATCTTTTTCTGAAATACAGAATTCTAGGTGTGAGATAAGGGTTGCGGTTAAATTAAACTTTCAGGGGTTTTACTAAATGAGGACTGTAGGGAATTCAAAGTGAATTTCAAAGTTTAGCTCAACTGAAAGCATCTGACTGAATTTTTGTCTGAATTCGGCTAATTTGGACAAGTTTAAAATTCACGTTAAATTCTCTTTGAATTTTCGACAATTCTCCATTTAGTAAATAACCCTGTTTATCTCTCCCTGGATCTGCCTAAAACACTCCCCAGCTACCTAGTAAGAAAGTAATGATGTAACTCTACCTGCCTCAAATAGATATTACACCTACTATTTAATTGCATCCTCCTTTTCGAGTAACCTGTTTCGATTCCTGCATCAGTAATGATGCAATTTAAGAAGAATACACAATAAGATCACTCAATCAGTAGAAACCTGTGCTGAAAATTCCACAGAATCAGGAAATGGCAACAGAAAAAAAACACAATGTCCCCATCTTTTACAGGTTTAGGCAAAGTTTTAAATATATATATAGTATTTGTTAATCAAAGTTCATTTAAGAACAATGTGTGAAAAAGGACCAAGCAAAGGGTATGGAAATCGAAGAAGAGTTTTAATGAAGAATGAACAAAAATCACAACTTTTAACATACACGATTAGACCTGCGAGTCTTACTATTTCACTTTTGCTGAACCTACAAACAAATAAATAAACAAATTAAAAAAAAAACAACTTTTAACGTACAACAATCTGCAATAATTCATGCCATATACACAGGGAGCTCACTTTACTCAAGTCTAGAACCAGTTAGACAGATTGGCAGTTGGTATTAAGTTTACACAATATTTTTACTTGTGAAATAGTATTGGCGAGGTATGTATGGTCAGATGTTTATCCAAAATGAGCTTCACATGGACTGGATGGACAGGGTCGGGTAATAGAGGGGAGGAAGGGAGGTGGAGGGAGAGAATATGTATCAAAGAAAGAAAGAGAAAACAAAAATATTTACCATTTTCAGGTATTTTGCTGCCAGGAATATGATAAATATGATCTGTTTCAAAGCACTGTGCCTGCCTCTCGAATTTCTCCAGCATCGACTGTTTAGCTTTAGATGACTTAGCTAATAAAAATAAATAATAAAGAAAAGAAAATTCAAATAAAATATAAGCAATGACATATTTTTAAATCGCACATTTTGGCCTTAGGACATATCAGTCCTTTAAACGTGTTACTTTAATGAAAGTATCAAAGGAATCTGGGGGTCTGGTTCGCTTGCCAATCTCATGGTCACTTCCAGTATAAGGTGGCCACTGGTCGACAGATATATTATAGCAAATTTCATATATTTCTAAATCATTAAATCATGTCACGGTCATCATTCAGCTGTACCGAAAAGCCCTCGAGCATGGATTTGGCTGGTAGTGTCCAGTGCAGCCATTGGTAACCACTAGGATTCAGACTCAAGAAAGGATGCTGATGAAAACTAGGTCCCCACCTAAACTAAATGTCACAGCCAGGACCCTGGCACAAAGGTGACAACAGCCCCGGTTTGGTTCAAGACAGACCTGATAGTGGGACGTATATTATTACTATTGGTCGGTTGTCATTTCAAACACTTGATCTGTAACTTGTTTTTGTTTCACAATTTGTAGTTGCACCAATAATGCTCACTTACAGGAGGAACCGGATATTATGGCACATTCTCACGGTGGATGGTTTGGTAGCACTGTTTGTGCCCACTTTGACCATATAAATGTCAGTGTGTCATTGATATTCTGTCCAAATACCTCCATCTTTTTAGTTTCATTTATTCACAATCCCTTTTATGTGCCATGTGGATGATGTCATTATATATATGCACAAATAATATGTAAACGTTTATAATAATTATTCTAAACACCAAATGCTCAGTTATTTTCCTTTTTACATGACCTCGGATCATACTTACATGCCAGGAACAGCGTTCGAAATTCCTTGGACCTGACTCCAAGAACCAATAAACCTTCCTCAGTCTTATATGTTGATATTGAAACATCAGCTGTTGAACGAAAAAAATTAAATAATTAGACACTGGAAAGACATTACAAAAGACAGAGGCCAGGAAAATATAATATAAAGAAGCAATGGAATGTATGAAACTTTTATTTCACAGAAATCGAATGTCACAGGTAAGGTGATCTGTACAAACGTTAACTCATTGTTTTGAATAAAATCACTATATATCAGTTGTATGTTATATACATTATGTCCTCCCACTCTCTGCATTATAGTTACCATATGTCAGTTATATAATATTTATGTATCATTTACTATGATTACACCTGTCAATCAATCTCTCCTTTGATTACATTTACCTTTTGTGTACGTTGTTATCCCTCACATACGTCAGCCGTATAAAGGAAAACTGTTATAAATTCTTATGTATTAATTTAAAATAGATTACATGTTTTATGGCCTTAGTGTGTTTTTTTTGTTTACAACACATGCATATTATTGCTCTATGGGGGCAGCCATATTTAAGTTCTCTTAGCAAAGAAGCACATTGATTCAGACCAAAATCCAGGGAAGCTAGAGATAATGTGTATTCACTCACAAATACAGATATCATACACAAGCACATGACATTTCAAAAATGCCAAAAATGCACTGTACAAAATCAGATTGTGCATTGTTTGAGCAGAGAAATGATGGCTGCAACTAAAAGGTTAACCCATGAGTTGTACTAAAAAGAGCTATTAACTTATATTTATATTAATTACATTCAATCTATTATTTTCAGTAAAATTTCTTGTTTCTAAATGTCTTTGAAATGATTTTTATATTTTTATGTGGTTACTGACATCTTTTGTTTACCCATTCGTTATATAGCGCTGCAGATTATATTTGTTCTCTAATAATAGTGATGTCCCGAACGGTTCGCCGAACGGTTCGCGAACGGTTCGCCACGGACTCATCATTGAGTAAACTTTGACCCTGTACCTCACAGTCAGCAGACACATTCCAGCCAATCAGCAGCAGACCCTCCCTCCCAGACTCTCCCACCTCCTGGACAGCTCACTAAGAATGCAGCTTCACAATGGATGCTGTCCAGGAGGTGGGAGGGTCTGGGAGGGAGGGTCTGGGAGGGAGGGTTTTTTTTTTCTTTCTATTTTTCCTTGTTTGTGTACACCTTAATTTTTCCATGTATTTTATTTTCAATTTCAGAATAAATTACATATATACATTACACATAATCGCCATAATAACCTTAGTCGCTTAGAAGTTATCAAATTAGGCAATCTTAATGGCTTAACTAACATTACAGACACGTGACATATTCAGTTCAATGGACCCAGGGAGTAAAGGGTGGCAGGTTTCATAGACCGCTCGCGTGTATCGTCAGTACGCCATGTATTCAAACAAAATTATATATTTATCTCTATAGAGGAAACTAAAAGGCTAGTTTGTACTTACTCTTCATATTCACAACAATTCGGTAGCAATTGAAATTAAATTGTATCTTTTCAAGATGTAATATCTAACTTTTTGATCCATTCATCCCGCATTTTATATTTTTGGGGGTTAACGCAAAATATAGAGGCAATACCTTTATCCATTTTACATTGTTGTATAACTACTTCTTTTATATATTGCCATGTTTCTACCCGTGGAGTTTTCCGGTTTCTGGCTATAGATAATTTAAACGCTAGCAGGATATGCACTAATAGACATTTTTAATTATGAGGCATAGATGGTATAGTGAGGTGTAACAACACCATATCCGGTGTCCATCTCTGTCCTATGTCCTAATATTTAAAATGATCTGTTGCCAGCCAGATTGGATTATGGGGCAATCCCACTAAATGTGTCTTTCAATTACCTCTGGTTGACCACATCTCCAACAGAAAAGATTCTTTTCAGGATACATTTTTGCCACTCGAGCAGCGGTCAAATACCATCTGTTAGACAGTTTACATTGTATTTATACTAACTTTAAACAATGTACCATAGAGTATACATCCTGGAGAGAGGCATACCAATCATTTAGACCAATAACGATTTCAAGGTCTTTCCCCCAGCTACCAAGACCCCTAGGACTTATAGGCCTATCTTTATGATATCACTGAGTTTCTTAAAGGATATTAAATATATTTACAATACCATTATTTATCCATACGTTTAGATCTATATCATCTATCAAATACATTAGAAAATGTGTTGGAAAAGAGGGGAGTATTTTGTTTGTCAAGTTCGATTGTCTTTTAAATGTGCACCAAAAAGTCATGCAATTATTAAGAATTAAACTATATTCTCCCTCTACGAATTTATTTTTGTACTTTATGTCCCAAAAGATATTAATCAACTTATACAGAGTTTTTAAATAAGGTTCTTCCAAAGCGTACCATATCTGAGATTTATTAGTCTCTGAATGTATAAATGTATTATCTTTAATAATAATAATAATAATAATCTGAATACCCATTCCTCTCTCTGAGAGGCACGTCTATTCATACATGATCTAAAGGTGGGATTCTTTGTATTTTTTTATATCTAAGATCAATGGTTTCCAACAGCTGCTGAAATGAATGAAGGTGATCTGCCAGTAGTCCTTCCTGATTGGCTGGGCTACAAAACCTTCTGGGGCAATCCAGGATGTAGTGAGGGAGTGGCTTAAAGAAGAACAATGGCCTCCTCCATCCTCAATAATTAATACTCACAGTCTTTTTCTCCTTTGGTGTATTTCTTTTCAGACAGGTGAGTACCTCCTGGCCTGCGGTTAACAAACAGAGAATGAAATAAAAGTTGGGCATCAGCAACCGAAAGATAATGAGAAAAGAGAGATGATTTAATAAATGTTAGTTACGTAGCAGTGCCCTGTAAGGAACGGTCTGTACTGGGCTAGAATGAATATTGATATAAAAGATTATCATATAAATACTATTCGTAGCTTATTGCAGTGTGTGGAGGTTGTGCATCTTGGGAAAGTTGTAAACTGTATTTTATGGGCGCGCTGTTCTTTAATCTGTATTTTATATACATTTTGGCCTCTACTGCAGCACCACTGCTGAGAAATGCATGTTTCGGGTGTGCCCCCTTTTTTCTAATGCCAGGATGTTGGCAAAATGAATTACCTGAGAGCCACAAGGTTTGGCATGTTACTTGACAACCAAGAAGCCTGTCCTGTTACCTGAGATCCATGAGGTTTGTCCTGTTACTTGTTAACCCAAAAACCTCTCATGTTATTTGAGAACCCATAGGCCTGTCCTGTTACCTGATTAAACAGAGGCTTTTCCCTGTTACCTAAGAATGCAGAGCCCTGTCCTGTTACCTGATTAAACAGAGGCTTTTCCCTGTTACCTAAGAATGCAGAGCCCTGTCCTGTTACCTGATTAAACAGAGGCTTTTCCTGTTACCTGAGAAGTCAGGGGCCTGTCCTGTTACCTAAGAATGCAGAGCCCTGTCCTGTTACCTGATTAAACAGAGGCTTTTCCTGTTACCTGAGAATGCAGGGGCCTGTCCTGTTATTACTTGTTTTTATGAACTAGTTTTCATTGTTTTCCCCTTTATATCGGATTTTACCCAGCTTACTGCATCCTGTCTAAAACCTTTCCTAACTCTAACATAGATATTGGCCAGCTTGACCCACATTCGGAGATGTGATCAGCATATTTCATCTACATGGTGGATGATTACGTCATATTCCTGTTTATTCCATATAATCTCACCCAGACAGCATACACCGACCAAACCAGATAGAGTACACAAATCCAGAGTACACCAAACCAGATAGAGTACACAAATCCAGAGTACACCAAACCAGACAGCGCACACCAAACCAGATAGAGTACACAAATCCAGAGTACACCAAACCAGACAGCGTACACAAATCCAGACAGTGGCACACAAACCATGGGGCCCTGGTACAAAAATGATCCGTGCCCCCCCCCTCAGTACTCCCCCTCGACAGACACACACACACACACACACATACATAGAGAGACACACACAGACAAATACATACAAACACACAGGCATACATATATACATACAGACAGACACACACAGACACATACATACAGACCGACACACAGACAGGCACACAGACACATACATACAAACAGACAGGCACACATACATAGAGACACACACACACATACATACAGACACACACACACACACAGACAGACAGGCACACATACAGACAGACACACACACATAAAGACAGACAGGCACACATACAGACATACACAGAAGACACGCATACATACAAAGACAGATACATAAAAAAACAGACAGGCACACATACACACAGGCAGACACATACAGCCAGACAGACACACGCAGACACACGCAGACACACACACACAAGACACACATACATACATACATACATACATACATACAAACAGACAAGCACACACACATACATACATACAGAGTATACCAAACCAGACAGCATACACCAATCCAGGCACAGAACACTAATCTAGACTATGTACACAATCCACAATATTGATTTTGATTCATGTATACGCAAACACACAGGTTTTGGAGAGATGGAGATAACTTACAAAGTCAGGATTTCTAGAACACTATACACGTCTCCCGTCTTGCTGATTTCCAGCTTTCCTTCATACAGGATCCTCTTTAGATAATTGATATCAACAATGCTGGAAGATTTTGCAACCAGCCCCCATGTGGCTTTATCCTGGAAAAGAAGGAAGTTTAAAAGTAACCCCAGCTGGCGGCAGAATCAATAATTAACTCTGGACCCTTACAAAGTCTGTTCTTCCATACCTATGGAAGTGAGGTTAGAAGTGAGACGTGAAATGCGTAAGAGGAATACAATATGTGACCTTTAACAATTCTCACCGTCCTTCTAATAGTGACAGTGATTTAGAATACACAGTAGGGAAGGATCATGACTTTTTCCTATAAGCATATAGAGGATCTGATGTGTCATTTAATAGATACTAACCACAATGTCATCCAAATGCGTGGAGTGTTCGAAGAGTCCGTGGCATTCCAGAGCTAAAATGGAGAAAAGGGATTATCGTCAGAAATGCCTTTATTACTGGCCGATATACTCAATAAACTGTCAATGTGATGTGCAATGAGTAGGGAATACTGATCACCGATGAGGGTTCTAACCACTTTGTGGCTTTTTTTTCTGATTAATTTTGAATATAAGAAAAACAATTTCTGTACGATATGTGGCAAAGAATGAAAGAAAGTGGGAAGGTCGCATGGAATTGATACTCGTTTAATGGCTCCCCTATGTGTTAAAATTGCCCTGTTGCATATGGTGGATGATCTATATAATAACAAAATGCCTTACCATAATTCACACTAATCTCAAACTCCCTCAGGAAGACAAGTTTTTTGCAGGTGCTCCATTTTTTAAAATGCTCAACCTCGGACTCTGGCAGGGATGTCCCTCGGCCTAAAACACAGAAATTGGTTAAAAAAGCTTAGCAATCATGTTCACTAACAGGGTTATTCACAAAAGTGAGAATTCAAAGTGAATTTAAAATTTAGGGTCAAAATAACCGAACCAGAAAAAATCCCCTAAATCAGAAGTGCTTCTAGTTTGGCTACTTCCGGAGATGTCACAGTTTACTGAATAGTTTAGCTAGTTTCCAGCGTTACTTTTTATTACACATTAGGATGTGTTTATCCTGGGTTCTTAACACAGTTTAGTGATTATACAGAGAGTCAGCAATGAATATATTAAAGCAAAACACTTCTTCCCATAAGTCAGTTTAATACAAATAGATAATAAAAATAATATTTCAACTAAGAGTTCACTACAGTTTTTGAAAATTTCTGGGATTTACAGCAAACACTGGAACTTCAAAGGTGCGTATCTTTTTTAAAATTTAAAAATTTGTTTTAGTATGATAACGCATTATTTTTATAACGCAGTAAGAAGAATGCTGTACTCGGGCCGCTGATGTTCGCTAACATGCTCTTTAGTAATACTTACTGTATAAAAAAGCTACTTTGGTTTCATTATTCAAATCCTGGATTGCTATCAAACTTTCTGGATTCGATTGCCAAAATGTTAAAGTATAAACTTCTCCTGCAGAGAGAAAGTTACAGATAAATCAGTTAATGGCACGTGCATTATTTACGTGAAGATAAATGCTGTGTCGGTGGCGTCCCACCCATGCAGTAAGCAGTTATGTGCTTGCTATGTGTGGTCTCTGCTTTATCATGAATACTGCCCAGATAATCGAAGTCACTGACCAGGAAAAGTAGAAATTTTTTAATTTTTTTATTTGGCGATTTTTGCAGAAAAGCCACATTTTTAGTGAAATCCCAGTATGCTATTGTTTTTCTATTTTTACGTTACATATATTTATTTACACATTAAAGGGCTACTCCAACCAAAAACCTATATTTTACCTTCTGAGGTTGTCCCCTCCCCCTCAAAAAAAAAAGAAAATAAAGAAAAAATTAAAATATCTCCCTGCAGCTCGATCCTCTTTGCCTGATGTCACACCCCCTCGCTGGAGAGGGAGAGAGGGCATCGAGGACAGACTTGGGGTAGGATGGAGGGGAAGGTTGTGGTACCATTGTGTGTGCTGGAATCAGATGCCAATTTTGCAGATAATTGATAACAGCCAGCTTTGAACTTTGTTCTGGGCTGGCTATTAGCGTTGCTAGCAGTGGAGTTACATCGCTGGTAGCTTAGGGGTTAATCTCTGTATGCGCAAACGCTGCACATACAGACTCCATACAAACGCTGCACATTCAGACCCTTTCGAGTCTTTATAGTCCTGACTTTCTTTACATCGAGATGTGTTAATATGATACAGAGTGCAAATTATTACACAATTAATAATAAAAAATAAATGAAAATTAATTATTTAATTTCTTACCTTCGGTTGATCTAACTATATAAGATAAGGATAATTTCTGATCATCTATTCTCCTGTTTCTGGTGGTCTCCAATTCTAAATTGTAGATCCTGAAATGAAAAAATGAATAATTTGTAAAGATACATTAATGCAATATACAGTGGGGATACAGACACTGACACTCATTGCAGAATGTACCGTATGATATTTCCATATGCTCACTGTGTGTTTTATAATAGGACTTGTGATAGTTTGTATAAATCCTGGGTTTATCTCATAGTGACACCCAGTGGTTGTTGCTTGCATTGCAGATGTTATAGTCCATTGTCTTGTAGGGTCTCAAGAGTAAATAGGAACTTTTTGACTAGCTTGAACTTTTCATTTAGAATTGCAACACTTTACACTGATGCCAATCACTTCTCAGTTAAAGGGACACTGTAGGCACCCAGACCACTTTAGCTCATTGAAGTGTTATGGGTGTTGTGTCCCCTTTGTACCTAGTGGTGCAATGTAAAACATTGCCATTCCAGAAAACTGCAATGTTTACATTGCAGCTCTAAGTCAGACTAGAGGGCATACGTAATCAAAGCAGACTTTGGTCTGTTATCTGACGCTGGACGTCATCACGCTCTGCATGAGGACCTCCAGCGTCAGATTTTTCCCCATAGGAAAGCATTGATTCAATGCTTTCCTATGGGGAGGTCTAATGTGCGTATGGCATTTGCCACGTATGCGCATTAGACCCCGCTCGGCGCAGGACGCAGGAGGGGGTGGAGCTTCGACCCAGCGCCGTGGGACATCGGTGCTGAATCAGGTAAGTAAATAAAGGGCTAAGAAAAAAGTTACCTAACTTCCCAAATCCCTATGCATATTTAAACAAATGGAGGTTATTTTGTTTCTCCAATGGCCATTAGAGACTGCCCACCTGCCACGTCAAGGCAGACCTCCCAGGTGGGTCCCACACCAACCTTTCATCTTGCTTCCTTGAGCTTCTGGCAAAGATATCTCTAATGTGACACAAAGGGGTATTTGATTTATATACACCCCTACATGTTTACTAACCCCTAATAAGGAACACATGGGATGGGCGGTAGCATTGTAACATAGCTGTGTGATACAATGGTTTGGGTTTTTACTGTATGTATTGGGGCTGATGTGTTCTATGGTTGTTGCTGCCGCCCAGGAGTGATGGGAGTTTGAGCGCAGGACTTGTTTTTTTATAAGTCAATAAAAGGATTTACCGCGTAGGAGGGGGCGCAAGGGAGTGTGGGTGGAGGCAGAGGGATCGGTAGTGCCAGGAATATAGCTTTGTATTCCTGGCACAACAGTATACCTTTAAACTGCTAATTCAGCTGTTTGCATCCAGATGGTAAATTTCCATGATAATGGGGTACCTGTGTGCCAAATTCATGGATTATCTCTTAGTTATATTGTACTGAGCTATTTTACTTGTACCAATCGTACCCCATGACATCGCTACGGACTATGATGGTGCTTTATAAATAAAGAATGATAAAGAGGAGAAACCAAGTTGAGTATTTCAAAATCTTACTAAATACCCAAATATTGTCTGGTAATATAATACATAAATACAATAATCTGCAACATTTGTCATTTGTGTTGCACTCATTGGGTGTAAGAGAGAGAGCATTTACAAAGCAATAAGCCAATAATTAAATTGTGCAATATAAGAATACCAGTTCCTAGCTGAGCTTGATGGGAGTTGTAGTTTGCTCACGGCAGTATCATTAGCTTTCATACTATATTTGAAAGGACATGTATTTCTCTATGTAATACTTGTGGCAGCAGAATTTTGCAAAAACTGTGTATTTTCCAGTCATTAAATCCATAAAAGGGACACTAACAACTATAGCTTAATGGATTGGTTCTGATGAGTATAACCATTCCCGGCAGGCATTTTCATGTAAACACTGCCTTTTCAGTGGGTTCCAGTGCTATCAGGTAAGCGGAGCTTTATTGGCTGTGTGCGCCTATCTCGTCGGTCAGCATTTTCAGTGGGTGTCTCTGCCCTGGCTTATTGGGTGGCGTGCGTTCGCCTAGTCACTTTGGGATGGTCCGTGTTTGGGACTTTTTTGTCATTAGAGTATTACCTTATGTCTCTGGGGAGCGTGTCCCTGTGTCGCCCTCTAGGTGCAAGGGTGCCTTGGCTGTGGTTGTTGTGTAGCTACATGTGGTGTCGCTTTGTACCAGTGTGTTTTGTCTGCTGTGTGATGGTTGCGAGCTGTAGGACCTTGGCTGAATGCCATTAGCCGTGAATATGTATACTCCATTTGTGTTTCGTGGCATTGTGTATGGGATGTTTGTCCCTAGTCGGTTCTATAGGCGTAAGTGTGTGGTGTGTCTGTAGGCAACCACGGGTTGAACTATACTGCATCCGCTTTTCAGTCAATGTGGCGTATCGTTGTTGGAGAACTTAGAAGAAGAATGAGTGTGAAATAAGAGAAAAAGGTAAGAGGAGAAGGGGAAGGAGAAAAAGATATGCGGGGGGGGGAAGAGGGTGGGGGGGCATGTAAGGGGGGGTAGAGGGGCCCTATGCCTGTGCTTCCCATGCATGTCGCATCGGATCGTGTCGTCCTCCCCATCTAGGAGGGAGGGCGCGGGGTTCCCTCAACGTGTTGGCGGACTCCACTGTCCGTGCTCCGGTCCGCTATAGAAGTCAGCCACGGGCGCCATCTCTCCACATTCTTCTCCTCAAGGCCCAGTAGGGAGGCTTGTGTTGATTCCGCCCTATATATCTCTTCCACTCACTCCATCCATTGTCCTAATGTTGGGGTAGCGGTCTGTTTCCAGTGTAACGGTATTAGTGCTTTGGCGGCGTTCAAAAGGTGTCTGAGGATGGTTTTCCTGTATGTTCCAATGATGTCTGGTGTGGAGTGTAGAAGAGCTGCCCCTGCGTCAAGATTTCCGTCCGTCCCTAAGATTTCCTCTGTTTTCTGCTTCACTTCTTCCCAGAACGGTGTAATGAGCGGGCAGTCCAACCATATGTGTAGTGTTGTGCCCTGATCTTCCCCACATCTCCAGCATGTATTAGGTACATTTGGGAAGATTCTGTGCAGGTTATCAGGTGTTCTGTACCAAAAAGAGAGAAGTTTGTATGAGAGGAGCATTTATGGTGGAGAATAAGGATATTTTCCCATTGGGCTGTGGTGAATGATGTATCCAGTATGTGTTCCCAACGGCGGCGGAATAAGTCATTGTTGGTGAGATGTCCCACTAGTAGGTGTTGATATAGAATGGATATTGTCTTGTGTAGGGTAGTCTTGTGATCGCAAAGTGTTTCGAACCATGATAAGTGTTGATGTAGTGCTTCTTTTCCTGGGAGTGTCTGGTAGTAGTACTTGAGTTGTATATAACGAAAGGATTGTAGGCTAGTGGGTTGTGTGCCTACCAGCAGTTCTCTCAGGGGGGTCATGCCGGTGTTGTTCAGTATCCTATTCATAGGGAATGAGTCCCCCATCCCCAGGAGTGCCCATGACGTCGGTGGTAGTCCTCCTCCTACCTGAGGGTTATGTTGTCATCGGGCTTGGTGGCAGCTGACCCGTTTATTCGATTCGGCTGATTTCAAATCAAGCCATAATTCGATAAGATATCGACCGAACACCGTGGGTAATTTTCTACTGAGCTTTGCTGATAATTTTGAATCAAGGCTATTGTTACAAATGTCACTCATATTGTTTGGTTTTAAAGTAATTGTGCTCTTTTCTATATTTTTTACATACTCGTCAGCTAGTTATTATTCCAGTGAAACAAATTGTTCTCAGTAATAAAATCCCGCCAGTAATGTTTAACCAGTGCCCCGTGGCAAAATGACTCGGTCAACATCAAAGTGTGCCACACCACAAACATATTCAATTCAAGGATGTGATAAATTGAGTGCAATTTTAAAAATCATTTTTTAATAAATGTGGCAATTAATCACAACTAATAAGGCTAGAGTTATCCATATTTCTCTAGTAAGGATTCATATAAATGTGAGATTTTAACTTGCTATCTCTTATACATTATTAAATTGTTGTATGTTTTATATTCTTATCTCCAAAGAACATCTAGATTTTCACCAATAATTTATATATATGCTACAGAAATTACTATATCAGGGTTGCACAAAAGGTAGATCACCAGATGCTATAGAACTACAACTCCCATGATGCTTTGCATGAATTTAGAATGTCTTTCGAATTACAAGAATCATAGAAGCTGTAGTTTTAAAGCATCTGGGGATCTACCTTTTTTGGCACCCCCAAACTATATAATGGTCACGGTGTATATTCAGAAAGCCTATTCACTGTGAGGGTGATATAATATGATTCTCTAATGTTCGTGATTGTGCCACCTTGTGGTTATGGTGCGTACTACATGAAATTACTCCTAGTGCCATTGCATGTGAAGTGGCCATTCAATAAATAATAGTCATTAGGTTTCAACAGACATTACATGCAATGGGGACACCTAGTGGACATTACGCATATTGCAGGAAGTATATCTCTGGCCATTGTTTTATAGTAGCCCTATTATTTATTATTATTATTATTACTGGTATTCATATAGCGCCCACATTTTCCGTAGCGCTTTACAATATTATCAAAGGGGGAGATTTAACAATAAATGACACAATTACAAAAACTTACAGGAAGAATAGGTTGAAGAGGGCCCTGCTCAAACGAGCTTACATTAAGTATAGTATACCAGCTTTAATACCTGCATTCATTGGTTGCGATGGTGGCACACTGTGGTCGCTGTGTATATTGCTGGAAGTATGTTTATCTGGTTAGTACATGTGATGATGTCATTGTGTAGTGGTTATTACATACATTACTGACACTAGTTTGGTTACATTTTGTGTAACCGTGACACTCACGGATTGCTGGACGTTATATTTGCTTCAATCTCAGTGACAGATACTTCTGCATACAGATAATTTATTACTTTCACCGATTCGGCTTCTTTGAAGGCAGCAATAACCTTTACATTCCACAGACCGTTTACCTGTCAATAGACATGACAATCATTATTCATTCCTTTCCATATTTTCTATCTGTTCACTAATTCACATGATGCCTCGGTTTTCCTTGCAGATCATCACTGCTTCTAATTTCCTATCATCTTTCACAACAACAAAAAAGCCTGTAACTAACACTACGTCAAGATAATGGTGGACAATCTACGTGTAGAGGAGTTTAAACTTGTCTGATGCCCAGTCACTGACAGTCTGATTTATTTCATTAGATAAAAGTAGGTATGGAAGCCTACACGTACTAGGAGATCCCTAACCAAATCGAGAATTAAACAGTGTGTTCTTGTAATAGACATAGAAATATAAAGTACATGACAAAACTGGAACAACAATAAAATATGAGGATATGTGGGAAATTAGTATAGCAGCAGCACGCATATATGGGAATAAAATGCAGTATACAAATGGAAAGAGGCTGGAAGATCTTTCTCCGGCCGGTGAGATGATCTCACTGTGCTGGGAGAGATGGAATCCTCCTCGCGTGCCTTCCACTTAGTGCACTTCCAACACCACCTGCTCTCGCAGACTCCTCAGGACTCATTTGCTGCTATCTTACACTTCATGTCCGTAAGCGTATTTTAACTTTCAATAATAAACTTGAAGATTTTAACTAAAAAGCACTGCTACTTGTATTTACAGTTCCAACTTGGGAGGAACTATCATTACCATTGACCTGCCATAGTGGTCATTCCTTTTCATTCCTGCTTGTATCCAACTGTTACCATCACTGGTTATATTGTTTCTACAGCCTGATACATTAATGCTGTTACCAATTCTAATGGATAATAGCATAATGTGTTGGCTGTGATATCGATATCACTTTATACCATTCTCTTTCCCTGCATCAAACAAACTCTGCTATCTAAAATACAATCCACTGACTCTTACTATTGATATATGATTTTGGTATGATTTTACTCTACCAAGTTCTGGACTACTGAGTTATTTATCCATCTAATTGATGATATTGTGCAAATCTATCTATTTGCAGCAGACCATTTGATTTCAATATTTGTCTGCTGGCAACGCAATGTTTAGTTAACATTTCCCTCTCATGTGAGTGCATGGTACCTGGCTGCCACCTAGTGACCATTTGTTATACTGCATTTTATTCCCATATTTATTCCCTTGCTTCTGCTATATTAATTTCCCACATATCCTCATATTTTACTGTTGTTCCATTTTTGTCATGTACTTTATATTTCAAAGTCTACTACAAGAACACACTATTTAATTCTCGATTTGGTTAGAGATCTCATAGTACGTGTAGGCTTCCATACCTACTTTTATCTATTTTACTTTTTATTAGCCTTTATGGGGGCTTTTCTTTACTAGGAGAGACCCTTTACCTACCTTCTCCCCATTTTCTCCAATTTCTAGGGCTAGTTTAATCTACCCACTACCCACATTTTGATTTATTTCATTGTTTAATTATTTAGTTGTTTATGTAACATTGATTATGCAGTGTCCTTCTCTGTCTTTAATGCTAATCACTGAATCAATGGTAATATTATAGAAATTAACGTTTCACATAAAATGTTAAAATCAAAATATGATATAAATTATTAAATCATATATAAACATAGAACTAAACACTCCGACTTGGCTGATATATTAATGCAGCACTAATTAACATATTTATTTAACACCATTAACAATTACATACGTTTAATTTTACTTCCCACAATCATCCCTTGGCACATGCAGCCTAGAATAAGGTGGATGGGATTAGAGTTTGATAAAGACCAGGTACCATGGCTATGGTCATTACCATATTAGTCATTGAGGACATATGTCAGCTGGGAAGGTGGAGGGGGGAATCTAGGACAGGGATGTCCAAAAGGTAGATCCCCAGATGTTGTAGAACTACAACTCCGATAATGCATTGCGTGCCTTTAGAATGCTTTAGAATAATGAAGCATCATGAAATCGGTAGTTTTAAAACATTGGGGGATCTACTTTTTGGGCACCCCTGGTCTGTGAAATCCTTTGTTAAACTCATGTATTTAGAGGTTCTAATGAATCTGCTTCCAGATGTGAGAATAGATTTGGAGGCCAGGAGAATGAAAGGCTTTAAAAAAAGGGGGTCAACAGATAGAAATCCACTTGGGTTTTGCAAGGGAGGAGCTGAGGCATTCAGAGGAGGATTCATAGAGTATTGGGGAATGAAACATGGTTAAGAGCAGCCAAGCTTCTTAAATATTATTGAAAAATCTGCCCAGTCACCATTTCCTAGGACATATCGAGATATCGAATGGGTGGAAACGGCAAATTGAACTAACAGAAGATATATAAGTCTAAAAGAGTAAAGGGGAATGAAACAGGAGTCCTGCGTTGTGAGCTAAGTGCTTGTAGGAGGCAGAATCAGAATAGAGAAAGAAATAGCAGAGGATGTTAAGGGGTAGTGAGGTAGCCTTGGCTGTTCTTATTCTCAGAAAACATAAAGATATTTGGGAGAAGATACCAGGGAGGCAGGAGGACATGTAGGAGGGGAGATCTTGCGTGGAGAATCGAGAAAGATCTGGATGTCATCTACAAAGTCATTGAATCTATGAGCAAGTAGTCAGACAGAGATCTGGACTTTAATAGTTTTAAATTGTGTTTTCAAATTATTTAATCTTTTTGGATAACATTTTCAAATCATTTATCAACAAAAATTCACATATATTTTTATTATAACTTCTGTATATAAGTCATTTAAAAAGTTTATCAAAAATTATTAAATGAAGGTCAGAGTGTCAGTGCAGAGAGAGAGGAACTGGATAACGTGGACAAACAAGATCAGAGCTGTAAGTCTAATGGACGAGCAACGTGCAGAGTGGGTGAGTTATTAATAGAGCCAGTGAAGAAACACAAAACTAGTGCCAGGTGAGGACAGAACCGGTTCTATCAAGGATATAAAAAATCAGGTTAACGGTAATGTGAACCAGTGTATCAAATCGGGAATGTTGTGGCCTGAGTTAATAAACTATATAATGTGAAGTGCGCGGGCTATGTTACATAAGATAAAGGCCGCATCGAATAGTGGGGAGCACAGAACGAGACAGGATTAATTTAAGGAGAACATGCAAGAAGCCTGGAGAAGTAGGGAATAAAGGAGATTACTCTGTAATACTCGTATACATCTCCCCAGTATTTACTGACTGACCTCTATCCTACCCTATAATTCTATTCTATCTTCCAACTCACAATTTCCTTCTCATTTATATCTCTCCCTTACACCTCTCTTCTAGATCACCTCTTCCATTTTCCTTATGACATCACCTTCACACTTTTAGATCACATTCCCCCTTCCTGTACCCCGGTCACATGCAATTTCTCCTCTAACCCACCTCTCTCAACTCCTATTGCTCTCCGCTCTCCTTTACACTGTCTCATTCTGCCTTTTTTTCTCCCACTTCCATTGTGCTCCTCTCTAAAAATCTGTATTAACATTCACTAGGTTCTCCGTAATTCTTCTAGCTTTTCTCACCTTTGTCAAGTCAGTTGGAATATGATATCCTTCATTGCAATCCGTGGGGCTTCCATAGATAGAGGCAAAGAAAAAGGACAGTGACAGCCAGAAAAATAAAGTCCTCATGGTGTTGTGTAACAGTGACAATGGTGACCTGTTCCCTGGTGTGTGTTTTATATAGCCTCCCATATTGGCAGGCAAACCCCCTCTGGATGTTCATGACCATAGGTCCCTAGAGGACAAGATAACAGTGTGTAACAAACCTACTCCAAATATTTACCAATGTCTTCATTCGGCCTTTTAACCTCCCACAGAGACGAATTGGTCTATTTTACAATTTGTACATCAAGCACAATAAATACTACTGTATTCCATGTTCTTATTTCAAGGCAAATTGCACCGTTGTTTGAATACAGTAGATATAGCAACTATTAACAATGACTCCAATAAAATATTAAAAATGGATATCTGTCAGGTTGCAGGATTACGTGCTAATTCACCCTTGAGGCGGAACCCTGGCTCTTCAATTATTGATGGACTACAAGTCCCATGATTCTCTGACAGGCTCTGCTGGAACTGAAGTTAAACAATAACACATTTTCTTGTATTATCATCTGTGACTAAACTGGATTTAACTAAGATGATATGTGAACATATCTAGACAGACATTTATAAATATTTAAAATTATAAGAAATATGTATATAATACATAAGTATTTTCACCTATTTCTCTGACAGCCCTACACGAGTTCCCATGCTTATTTAGGGATTTTTTTCTGGGCAACACTCTGTGCCTTTTTCCACAGGAAGAAGATAGAGGTTTGGTTTCCAGGACATTAGCCCATAAACTTTGCAATTGGGGTGTCCTCCAGCTATCTAGTATTATTATTAATAGAGATATTTATAGAGCGCTGTCAAATTCCGCATCGCTTTACAATGGGTGGACGAACAGACATGTAGTTGTAACCAGACAAGTTGGACACACAGTAACAGAGGGGTTGAGGGCCTGCTCAGTGAGTTTACATGCTAGAGGGAGTGGGGTATAGTGACACAGTAACAGAGGGATTGAGGGCCTGCTCAGTGAGTTTACATGTTAGAGGGAGTGGGGTATAGTGACACAGTAACAGAGGGATTGAGGGCCCTGCTCAGTGAGTTTACATGTTAGAGGGAGTGGGGTATAGTGACACAAAAAGGTAAGGATAGTATTAGACTAGTGACAGTTGCAGAAGAGGAATCAGTCAGGAGCTATTAACAGTTTAATTGATACGCTTTTATGAAGAAGTGGAGACTGGGTGAGCATCTAACGGAGGAGGGAAGCGAGTTCCACAGGAACGGTGCAGCCCTCGAGAAATCTTGAAGGCGAGCATCAGAGGTGGGAGTACGGACAGAAGATAGATGTAAGTCTTCAGCAGATCGTAAGGGCCTAGACGGGACATACTTGTGTATAAGGGAGGATAGATAGGTGGGAGCAGCATTATGTAGAGATTTGAAAGCAAGTACCAGAATTTTAAATTGAGCTCTATATTTTATAGGAAGCCAATGTAGGGACTGACAGAAGGGTGAGGCATGGGAGGTGCAGGCGGACAGGAAGAGCCTCGCCACCGCATTCATTATGGACTGTAACGGCGCAAGACCACTGAGAAGCGGATTTCAGTAGTCAAGGCGAGAAAGGACAGTGGAATGGACCAACACCTTAGTCTCATCTGGCGTTAAGCAGGGGAGGATGCGAGCAATGTTTTTGAGATGGAAATGACAGGATTTGGTGACAGATTGAACATGAGGCTTGAAGGAGAGGTCGGAGTCAAAGAGAACACCTAGGCAGCGAGCCTGCGTGGTGGAGCTGATGGTAGCACCGTTGACTTGGAGGGAGACAGACACAGGAGTAACAAGACTTGAGGGAGGAAAGACCAGAATTTCAGTTTTGGTCAAGTTTAGTTTAAGGAAGTGGGAAGCCATCCAGTTAGAAACAGCAGAGAGGCAGTCAGAGACACTAGTCAAGAGGGACGGGGAGAGATCAGGAGAGGACAGGTAGATTTGTGTGTCATCTGCATAGAGATGATATTGGAAGTCAAAAGAGCTAATGAGTTTACCAAGGGAGGCAGTATAGATGGAGAATAGTAGGGGACCAAGGACTGAACCTTGGGGGACACCAACAGAGAGGAGTTGGGGAGAAGAAGCAGAGCCAGAGAAAGAAACACTGAAAGAGCACTGGGAGAGGTAGGAGGAGCACCAGGAGAGAGCAATATCTTGTAGACCGATATTGCGGAGGATGAGAAGAAGCTGTTGATGATCAACTATATACTATATATGTAAATACAGGGAGGACCAGTGATTGCCCAAGTTCCTTTTTATTATTATTCATGTATACATGCGGTTACCAGATCCACCATGTTATCAGGGACACGCATCATGTATACTTATTGATGGGCAGCACATGAAAAGGGTTGCCCTGTAGTATGTAGAATTCAGAAGAAGGTGTATGAGATTAAGTAATTAGGGAATGCAGAATCCTGCATATTTTGCATTAGACATACTGCAGGGCAACACTTTTCATGCATTTCATAAATATGACAAAATTATATGTCCCTGAATATATGCTGGATCTGGTAACCCTATGTATACAGCACCAACGCATTCCATGGCAATTTACAATATTATAAAAGAGGGAAATTTAACAACAAATGAGGCAAACCACCAAAAAGTCTGAAAGCCACAATAGGTTGATGTCGACCCTGCTCAAACGAACCCACAATCTAGAGACAGTGGGGTATAAAGCACAATAGAAAGGGCAGAGAGGATAGTAACCAAGTGACAGGGTGGAACATGGAGTGTGCACCCACTAGGTCTCTTGTTCAATACTGTCTTGATTGAAGTTCGAATATATAAATCCCTGTGCTTCTGGGGCCCCCTCCTCTGCACTGTGATTGGTTGTTTGAAAATGTATAACCTTCCGCCTTACTGAACATATGGTGAAGTGTTAGCGGACGTTCATTGAATCCACTCACATTGATGGAGTAAAGGGATAAACACACATATATATATTTTAAACTACCCCACCCACTCAGACACACACTAAAAGGGGCACTGTAAGCATCAAAATAGCTTAATGAAGCTGGTTTGGTTGAATAGATCATAACTCTGAAGTCTTGCTGCTCAAATCTCTGCCTTTGGAGAGTTAAATCACTTTTCTTTGTATTTATATAGTACTAGCCAAACATCCCCTGGCTGTGATTCACAGAGCTTGCACGAAATAAAAAAAAGTTTAATTTCCAATCAGATGTTAAAGGGACACTCCAGGTAAGTAAACAAATTAAACTTTAAATAAAGCTAATAAGCTGAAATACCTCTGTTTAGTTTATTTACTTTCCATTCTGTGTAGTTTTCCTGCAATGTTGTAAAATGTTTTGCCGATTTCAGCAGTGTAACTCCGCCTCCTTAGCCACCCCCCTCTCACATTTTAACATGTTCCTGATTCGCATTCTCTGAAAGAAACGTACCTTTTACAGCCAATGAAAATAGAGGCGTGTCTTCTCTAGTGTAAGGAATGCTCACAGCACAGACTGCCCCCGCAGAGACAGGTTAGAGCCAGGCACAGTAGGTGTAAAATAGTTTTTGTTACTATTTTGCCTTTACTTCTGTTTTCTTTAGTTTATTTCTATTTCATATCTTTGCTGTAGCCTTATTCTGTTCTCCTTCCATTCCTCCTTTCTTTGATATTCCCCCTGTTCACAGCCACCCCGTATGTGCTCCTCTCCCCCCTGTAATGCAAGTAAGAAATGTCCCTGCATCTCCTGTTAGCCAACCTCACTACCCACTGTAGTTATTACTTATAAAGCGCCAACATGTTCCATAGCGCTGTACAACGGGTGGATTAACAGACACGTATTTGTAACCAGACAAGTTGGACACACAGGAACAGAGGGATTGATGGTCCTGCTCAATGAGCTTACATGCTAGAGGCAGTGGGGTATAGTGACACAAAAGGTAAGGGTGGGTAGAAAGGTAGGTTGCTAGGATATTATTCACTGAGGGCTTAGGGTTTTGTTTTGATGACAGTTTCAGTAGAGGAATCAGGGTGCGGGGAGGGAAAGCTGTTCACAGTTTAATTGATATGCTTTCCTAAAGAAGTAAGTTTTCAAATATATTTTGAAGGAGTAGAGACTGGGTGAAAATCTAACAGAGAGGGGGAGGGTATTCCACGGTTAACTCCATGCCCTGTCAGTCAACCTCACTACCCACAGTTAACCTCTTCCCTGCCGGTCCCTGTTACCCGCTCATCCCTCTAGTAACCCCTTCCCTGCCATTCCCAAAATATCTAGCTGCCAAGTGAGATAGAGAGAAAACACAAAGCTCTATTTAGGAGTTTGTCTGTCTCTTTATATTTAATGGGGTAAAAAATGGGTCGCAAGAGTATTCTCAGAACGGACAGCAGCTAAAATAGCCTGCCCTTCGGTGGGTCCCCGCTCAGAACTCAAGCTGGTTTTAGCTCATCTTGTGCCATTACAGAGAGAACATATCTGAAGCATATCAGACTGATCCCACCCATACGAGCAGTCCAGATCCGAAATGCCAGCAAGCTCTCTCTGCACAAGAGATACAGCAACCCCAGACGATCGTTTCAGCCTTGTTAGGCATCGTCAGTGAGGCATAGCTAATATCTCTCTAGGCACCGTGTCTCTTTATATTTATTTATAATAAACAAACATGGGTGAAAGGACATCCAATCAGAGGAGAGCAGAAACTCTGATCAAAGTAGAGATGGAAAAAAAAAAAAAGGTACCTCTAAAGCTCATTTTACATTATTTAGAAGAAGAAAAAAAAAAACACATTCAGTGACAGTAGGCTTACTGTTGGGGGAGAGGGGTATGCATTTTAACCTATACATTTATTTTCACTTCCTTTAGAAGTTTTTATCTTCTGCTCTGCAAATTGAACTTTAATCACATGCAAAAGGTTCCTGTGGGCTCTAAAAGGCTATTAACAGAGCAGGAGAGAAGAAAATCTAGATTATACAAACTGTGCAATAAAGGAACCTAATCTAGGTTATTTTTCAGGAAGTGTTTAGGAAGGCTGTGTCTATGGAAGGGGTCTATGGCTGCATAACCAAAGTGATTAAACTCCTAAAT